TTGGGGGTCCCACAGCTCTTGCCTCTGCCTGCCTCTCTGTCAAGGGCAATTACACCTCCACTCCACTGTGTTAGTCCTTAAGGAAAGTTTCTCCAGCTTGAATATTCTGACTTTTAGAATGCTGCATTCCCAAAATAGGCTAATTATGGTGATTCAAATGGCTTCACAAGGCAGAATGCAGACAGTATGCAATTAGAGGCTTGCTAAACTCCTGCCAAATGCAATCCTTCCTAATTTCATTACCAGCTTGCCTGCTTACAGGCTGGTTACTTCCAGCCCCTACTTCCCGGCTCACCTGGGTCTTAGCGCCTGCACTAAACCCCATGCCTTTTCTGTCGCTGAGATTTGCATTTGTAGCTGCTATCCAGACATGGGGTTAGAAACTCAGGTTTCTAACATTGCAATTATTTTCTGGGGTTATTTCTGACCATTATGTTTAATTAACTTGGGAGTCTCTGAGTGAATTTGTCGTGGGTCATTAGAAATGCAAACAATGGGCTTGGGGAGCTTGTCTTGAAAGCATGATGATATGCATCTTATCTCTGGTACTCATATAAAAATGCTAATGCTGGGCACAATGCTGGGCATGGCAGCATGTACTTATAACCCCAGAGTGGCAAGGTAGAGACAGAAGCATTCTGCAGCACCTGGCCAGCTGGTCTAGTCTAATGGGTAAACCCCAGGTCAAAGAGAGAGCCTGTCCTAAAGGAGGTGTTATATGTTCCTAAAGATAACCAAGGTTGTCTTCTGGCATCTTCATGACTGCATGTGTGTGTGTGTGGGGGGGCACACACATGTACATGGGCATGAGCACACATGCGCGCACGCACGCACACACACACACACACACACACACACACTTGAACAAAAGAAAGCAAATACAAACTACTGTCCTTATTAGGAAAACATGTATAGATGCAGAAATAGAAGCTGTGCACTGCATACAGTTAAGGGGCCACAGCTTGCAAAGCTGTGCTCTGTGTGAGATAGCCATCATGAGCAGGGTTTACCTTTTGTAACTTGTATAAGATGCAGCATAAGCTACAGGCAGCACATGTCCCCAGTGATGTCCAGCTCAGTCCTTTCTTCCTCATTCCACTGGGTTATAACTGGAACACTTTAACCTGGGCTAGTGGCAGTGAGTGAAACCCTACACAGAGATCTGTTGTCATTATTGTCATTGTTCTTGGATCCAGCCCTTTTCTGTCTCATTACTTCATCCTTAAGAGAGGCTTCCAGCTCCCGATCTAAAGTGGCTGGCCAGATTCCCATTCTCCTGTCACATTTCCCTTGGGGAAGTGAAGGACTGGAAAGAGAAAGTCATCTTTCCCTTCTTTGAAGATCTTTCCCAGGAAAGGAATGTGCCTTTGTATTCAAATACCATTGGCCTGAGTGTAGGTCACATCCCTGACAAGGGAGCTGGGAAACATTAGGGGTGGCATACAGCGGGAGGGCTCACCCTGACACCTGGTGTAATTGCAAGACCCCCCCACCCCCCACCCCCCCGGCAGGGGCTGGGCCTTAGGTCACTCAGGTGGCAGAATCTGGATCTGAGTTCAGACGTATCACAAAGCTGGAGGTCTGCCTACCACACAATATCACCTTTTATTTTAATCCTTCCTCCTTTTTAATTTAGCAAGGAAAGACTGCCCTGGCTGTGGCTGCCAGGAGCCACCACAGCCTCATTGTGGATATGCTCATCAAAGCTGAGAGGTACTACGCCTGGAGAGAGGTAAGAAAGGCCAGTTCCAGCCAAGTCAGGGGCTTTGGGGGCATCTTTCCCCTCCATTTTGCAATGGGGAATGTATAATTCTTTTTCCCCCCTGTTGTAGCAAACCTTGCTCAGTAGAGTGATGACTGTCCAGTCCTCATGCTGTCCCTGTTCATGGAATGGACAGTGCCTCTTCTTCTCTTCCGTTGTGGACATTCACAGTCAGATCTGAGGATGTGGCCCCAGCAGCCTCATCCATGGCAGCTTTACTGGCCTGGCGTGCCAGCTCAATGGCTGGCTCTGCCGTGCCCTCTGTCTCGTGGTCTCTGGTCACGGCCTGTCACAGAAGCTCCAGTGAGTGGCACACATGGAAAGCACATCGCTCTTAGTGTGTCTACCAGTCACAGCTTCTTAGTAGGCTGCCCTTCCCTCCAGGATTCAAGTCTGTGCTATAAGGCAAGATGCTCAGACAGAGGACATCATCCCCAATTTCTAGATCCATGCTGTTTCTTAGTTTCCCTGCTGTGTGTGTGGCTTCTCCTGAGCCAATGTGTCATGCCAGAATACCTGTTCTTATGTCTTAAGTGTCTCTACTATGGAGGGGCTACAAACTCAGATTATGGCCATTGGCCAATCCTGGGAAATTCTTTTTTACATCCTTAAAGCAAGAATGCTCACTGTCTACCTCTCCCTCATAACCCTGCTTGGTAGTCTGAAACACAGTCATGTCAATTGATGACAAGGAAACCTGAGACATGTGTCATTAGGCAATGTGAACATTCTATCAACACCAGTGGCCACTCTTACATGGATCACATACCTTGGCCAGTGAAGCCACTGTCATAGATGTGGCCCGTGAGGATCCACCCAGCAGCACATGACCACGTATGGATTCTTTCCGCGCCGTCTCTCCTCTGTTCCTCCATGCAGAACAGTAAAGCCGACCTCGCCCATACCGCAACAGATTCTTATATAGAGGTAGAACTGTTTGATCCCCTCCTCTGACTTATTTTTATTCCCTTTTTGTCTTTGCTTCTTTGTCCTTCTGTTCATTTTCTTAAGCATCTTTGTTACTAAAGATTCAGGTTCCTTTTCTCTTATTCTTTAAATGGTTTTCTACATTTGCTTTGGGAAAAAAAAAAACCAAGCTGTTCAGTCCTTCTATTTTTAATGCCTGGTAGCAGTCTCATATTCTCTCGTCTAGATGAGAAGCAATGGCTTCTGCGCCTAGCAACCCTTTCTTTTCTAACAGATCCTTAGGGGTAAGTAGGTGATAAGCATTGAGAGCCTTGAGTAGTGCACACACACAGGTGAAGGAAGACTTCAGAAACAGTGCACCGAGAACTCATGGTGACATGTATATCTACATGTACACCCCATTTAAACTACCTGGACTTTGTGTCTAAATACACACACACACACACACACACA